AAAAAAAATACAAGGGACAAACATACAGTACTGATTCTTCTATTAGAAATGTATTTATATTCAACTGCTCAAGGTCATCATCAAGGTCTGATTGCCAAAATTCAAAAAATTGCAACCTCAGGCATAAGTGGGTTAATTTGACAGGTAATAATCCCTGCTAATTTTGATGTTCCTGGTGGTTTTCAAATGCAAGTTATGCATAAGCTGTGTTAACCAGCATTTTTTCAACATCTCCAAAGTATAAATGAGTTATTCAGGATACCTAAAGAAGAAATGAAGCATGATATCTTCATATCCTATATTTATATTTAGTTTCTATTTGGAAAACATAGAGATAATTTAGGCACAATGACATAAGCAGGAAAAATATGAAGCTGAATTTATGTAATGATTGTTTTGAACAGGTGTGTATGGAACACAACCATATTCTTTTCCATCATTCTCCATTCATATTATTCTCAAGAAGAATTCTTCCCCATCTCTGTAGAGGAAAAGTAAGACATATCCTAAATTCTTCTGATTATTTTTATGTAATTAAAAGGCTTTCTTATTTTTCTTAGGTACTTCGAATCAAAAGGACAATTTTGGTTCAATAATCAACATGCATCTTTATTCTGGTTTGTTGGCTTCAACTCCTTTATGGATACCTAGTTATTTGGAGATGCACCTTCATACTCTTTCTGCTGAGCTCTTCTCAGCTCCTTAGCAAGCTGTCTTGCACAATTTGTAACAACCCATGCTAGCTCCTACCTGTTCATAGTTCTGATCTGGTACACGGGGTAGGTATTCTAAGAATCCTTTACTCTGGATACCTCTAAGATATGAGGCAAATCCTAATGCAGCCAACTTTCTTACCACCATAGACAGTACATTTATATAGTACTTACATTCTGTAGTTATATGAGACTGCAGAAGATCCTATTTTTACTATATCTCCCAAGTTCTAGGGCACATAAAGATGTGCCTCTTACATCCTTGTTAATTGAAAGACTTGTTGCCCTAGCTGCCAATTAACAGTCTCCAGCTGTTGCCTATTTCAGAGTTTGCATCAAGTACATAGAACCGTTTTTCACAAGAGTATGCTCTTTCCTGAACAACCTGCATAATTCAGAGGTATAAAAAACACAGCCATTTTGGGCCAATACAAGATATTTTTGATAGGGTATGTTGTTATAGAGCTTTGGATAGGGTTCCTTCAAAAGGAACTGCATTGCAGGGCGACTTCTACTCAATCCTACTTTATTTATTTCTCCTTTTCCATAAAAATTGGTCTTTAACAAATATCCTGAAAACCAACCTCCACGTATCTACTGCAAAAAAAACCAAATCTGAAATATTCTGTGGAATTGTTATCCTTTCATGTTAGTATTTGGCATCTATTGTCTTAAGGATCCAGCTAAAAAAGATACTAAAATGTTTTTCAATATAGTGTGTGTATTTATACACACGTTACTGAAATATTCAACAATTCTGTGCAATAATTCCTTGGACAGAATATCATTAAACTTGTTCCAGCAAGTCTCAAATTTACGTTCTTGGTAATTTGCATTTAGTCCTAGGTGGCACTAAATTCCTTTGCCATGTAATTGCCTATTTATTTTTTCTTTTTACTACTATACTGTGTAATGAGTTATTTGCTGATATTACGTGTTCAGTAAAATATTTTGAATGAATTAATAAGAAAAAATAAAATATCATGTAAAATATTTTCATACCTCACTAATATTATTTCCCCCCAAAACTCTACAAATTAGCTGCTATAAATTTTATAATTTAAATTTGTATAACAAAAAACATACAATTTGTATGATACAATAATTTGATCAGGTTATTTTATTATCTTACAGTGTAGAAGTACGTCTTTATTAATAAATCATTCTTTTTAAATATTTAACATTACTTGGGATCAGTGATATCTATATCTTAATAGGTGTTATAAATTTTGGAAATAATTTAATAATTATTTCATTAGTATTATTTTAGATTAACAGTTAACGTTTTCTGACATTTAACTTAGTTTTGTTTTGTTCTGTTTTATTTTTCAGAAGAGCATACAAAATAAATTTTCATCATATTCGTTAGGGCAGGGTAAACTATTACAAAAATAGACACAAATGTGTTATAGCTGGAACAGAGTAGTGTGTGGGGTTTTTTTTTTTTTTTTTTTTTTGAGACAGTGGTTGCCCTGTTGCTCTGGTTGGACTGCAATGGTGCAGTCTCAACTCACTGCAAGCTCCACCTTTTCTGGGTTCCTGGGTTCAAGTTATTCTACTGCCTCAGCCTCCCCAGTAGCTAAGACTATAGACACATGTCACTGATGCCTGGCTATTGTGTTTTGTTGTTTTTTTTTATATTTTTAGTAGAGATGACGGGGTTTCACCATGTTAGCCAGGCTAGTCTCAACCTCCTGACTTCAGGAGATCCACCAGCCTCAGCCTCCCAATGTGGTGAGATTACAGGTGTGAAACAAAAACTCAGTTTTTTAATTTGGAGGCTTCAACAACATTCTAGATTATTGCTAAGGAAGGTCCATTGCTGAATGTAATAGGCATTGTATAAGAAACTCCAAAGTACATAGTTTGAAAATATGTAACATTATGTCAATCTTATTTAGTCTCCATCTGCTTTTTAAAGGCAAATCTCAGACATTATGTCTTTTCACTCATAATACCCCCACATCCATCTTTAAATACATGTGGACTTCTTTTTCAGTAAACCACCACTATGTAATTATCTCCCAACAAAATTAATAATTTCTTCTTATTGAGTCATAACAAATTTATAATTAAATTTATCTGATTGAGAGACCAAAGGTCTAGCAAAATCTAGGTTGTAGAAACCTAGCAACCTCTTTCTCTCTCACAATTTTGGATATAGACTGTGAAATGGCTATTTCAGGGACTGAGAAATACATAAATGGTCATTTTATGGCCAGTTTTAGAAGTTTAGGTTTATTTGTGGATATGGTATACTCCGCAAGCACAGACTTGCAGTATTCCATAAACTGATTTTAAGGCTCTCAAGGGAAGCTAAGAAAAGGATGTTCCTACATTCTAATCCTAGAGATTTTGTTTCTGTGAGTCTGAAAAAGTTTTGAGAACAAGCGTTTTTTCGTCAATTGCCCAGGTGGTTTTTATCATCAGACAGAGATAGGAAACAGCATATGGATAATGAGGAGAGAGTGGTAGGAAGAAATCTAAGATGGTTCCCCGAATTTTATACACACAACTTCTCCCTTATTTAATCAAACACTAGAAACTGCTGTACATTGATTTTGCAGATATAAATAAGGTCTCATATAATTTCCCTTAAGATCATCCTGGTGGGCCTGATCTAATTACCTGAGCACTTTACATTTGGAGAGTTTACTCCAGCTGATTGCAGAATGGAAAGTACGTGAGACTCAGTCCACATGGTTTGAAAGAAAGCATTCATGTAGTTGTGTATTGCTATTAGAACCACATGGAAAGAAACTGTGAGTAGCCTTGGCCATGATCTGTTAGGAAAATGGAGACTTCATTCACACAACCACAGGAATATGAATTTTGCCAACAACTAACATAGTAATTTCCTGTGGCTGCTATAATAAATTACCATAAACTTGGTGGCTTAAAGTAACAGAAATGTATCCTCTCACAGTTTTGAAATCTAGAAATCCAAACTCTGTATACCTGGGCCAAAATTAAGATTTTAGCAGGGCCCAAACTCCCTGAAGGCTCTAGGGGAGAATGTGTTCTTGGCCTGTTTCAGCTTCTAGTGGTTGCCAGCATTCTATGGCCACATTACTTCAATTTTTAAGGCCAGCATCTTCAAATATCGATCAGCTCTACCTTCTCATAGCCTTCTCTCCTGTGTGTGTGTGTGTCAAATTTCCTTCTGCCTCTCTCTTGGTTGTAGTCAGGGACCACCTGGATAACCACAAGATAATCACATCTGCAAAGACTTAGCCTAATAAGGTAACATTCACAGGTCCCAGTGATTAGAATGAGAGTACCTGTTAGTGGGCCATTTTTTAACCTACCACAACAAGTGAGACTGGAAGAAAAGCATAAAGTTCAGATGGAAACTCCAGCCCCTGTGGACACTTTTACTTATCTGTTGATGCCCAAGCAGAGAACCAAGTCATGTCATGGCTGGACTTCTGACCTCCATAGCAATGAGTTAATAAATAAGTGTTTATTTTAAGCTGCTGTGGTTGTGGTTGTTACACAACAATATAAAAAATCAATTCAGAAATATAGAGATTTTTCTTTAATTGGTTATGCTGTAATCTTCCCTTCTTCCCAAACTTCTCGTTTTATTATACACAGCTCAATAAAGATCACCTTCTTTCACTCAGAAGTGCAGCTTATAAACTTGGGAGTTGTTAGGGACTCCTCTTTCAGTTTTAAACTCCTTCCCAATAAACGCATTGCAACATATTTTCTTAATATATCGAATCTCTATCATTATCTTCATTATTGCTATCAAAAATCTTCACTCACACTCTGCACCTGTGTGCAGACACTTAAGACACTCTTAAGTCCAGCATCAATTTGTAATCCCAACCTGATCTGAGCCTACTCTTAACAAGGCTGACAAAACGGCATATCTAAATAGCAAATCTAATCATGTCACTTTCCATCTGACTATCTTCTGTTACCTTCCTATATAATTCAGAAATAAAAATCTAAGCTCCTTATCATAATTATGTACAATTTGTATATACATTTTAAACTAAAATGTGGAAATTCTATTCTTGGTGCATAAGCATTCTGAGCCCCTGAGAATATGAACCATTATCCTCTGTGGTAAAATTTTATGGAAAAACATGAGAGCCCTGTGCTAGCCTGTGTATAGGCACCCTCTGCCCCTCCAAGGTTTCACTCTCCTGACTGCAGGGACCCTATGCTTAAATAAAAATGATCCTTCTTAGAATCTTTACCTGCTACTCTCAAGCTGGAATAGGCACTTCTTTGTCTTTATAGTTATTCCATTACCATCAGTAAATATTCACTTACCTGAGTCTCATGCCAGTTTCATTCTCTCATCGATACTCAATGCCTAATAGAGTGCCCAGCATGTAGTTGTCACCTTATAGAATGCCCAGCATGTAGCTATTTCTCAGAAAATGTTTATTTGTAATTAACATGCCTGCACTGCAGCCAGGCAGGCATAGGCCATGGTAAACATCCTGCATGACTCAGTGAGTTTGGAGCGCAGGAGCATAACTCCACTTGTTATATAATCACAGCTATGTAGCCATAACATGGGAAGGCTCATCACTTGGCTTGGAGCCACTATTGACTGTAAAAGCTATAACTATCCTGGGCACTGTGCAGGCACACTCACACCCAGAGACAGAGAGAAAGAGAACGAGAAAGCCAGAGCTCTCTGTCTTTTGGACAGACAGTGGGGAGCCAGGACACAGCTCGGCTTGCTTGTGCCCAGATTGAGAAAGAGTTAAGCTGCTGACCCTGTAAGGAGAGCCAGCCATGCAGCTATGCATGGGAGCAGCAGGAGCTACAGAACCAGAGCAGTTAGCCAAGACAGAGGCTGACACCATCTTTCACCTGCCTACAGCCCCCCAAAGTGTTCTTTCAGCTATCTGACACTCATCCTCTCACTCCCTTCAGACCTCAGTATGGGCTGGAACCTGACCCTGGACCTGATGTTATTAAATGAAGCCAAAGAGGAGATAAATGGCTAACTCCTGAATATGTGCTGGATATGTTTCTTTTTCTCTTGCTGAATTTTTAAAAATGTCTAACTTATGAAATAGCCTGTCAAAGGATGAGGGGTGAAGGAAAGGACAAATAACTAATGTATGTGACGCTTAAAACCTAGACGATAGGCTGACAGGTGCAGCAAACCACCATGGGACATGTATACCTACGTAAAAACCTACATATTCTTCCACACGTATATCCCGAAACTTAAAGTAAAAAAAAAAGGAAAAGCAGTTTTTTCTCTTTCATACATTTCTCAATTTTTTTTCATAGTACTTACAAAATGTATTGCAATGTGTTATTATTAGTCAGAGTTGTGTAACTGTGACTTCTAAGCAGGATGCTATTTCCTTCGGTTACTGTATTAGTTCCTTCTCAAGCTACTAACAAGAAATACCCAAGCCTGGGTAATTTACAAAGGAAAGAGATTGAATTGACTGACTGTTCTATAAGGCTGAGGAGGCCTCAGGAAATGTACAATTATGGTGGAAGGGAAAGCAAATGCATCTTTCTTCACATGGTGGCACAAAGAAGAAGAATGAGAGACAAAGTGAAGGCAAGAAAACCCCTTACAAAATCATCAGATCTCATGAAAACTTTCACGGAAATAGCACAGAAACTTCCCCTATGATCCAGTTACCTCCACCTAGGTCCCTCCCATGATACATGAGGATTATGGGAACTACAATTCAAGATGAGATTTGGGGAGGGAGACAGCCAAACCATATCAGCTGCATAGTCCAGTATACAGCAAAATAGCCTGTGAATATTAAGTATTTAATAAGTATTTGAGTTCAGAAATATATAGTTTAAGAGAAAGAAAGGAATGAAGGAAGATCTTAATTGAGAGCTAAATTATTTTGGGGAAATTTAATGTTTAAAAACTGGCATTTAATGTGGTTGGAAGTGGAAATGTGAGCATGATTTTGTTTATTTTCTTTCTTTTGAATGTGTGCTTTGGGAGGGAACATTATTCATTATAGGGTTAGAGATTGAAAATAATAGAACTTAGACCAGAAAGATCAAGTTTACCAAACAGATGCAAAGGGGCATAATCAAGTGCATGAAAGGGACTTCTGTTCCCTCTAGGCAACTTTATAGGTGGAAAAGAAAAAAATTTTAAAAAGTTCCAACAGATGGCTTCTATTTTTTTTTTTCTGAAATAAGAAGCAAGGTTGTCTGTTGAGCGTAGGAGAAGTGGGTGGGATTCTCTGCTTAAGGAAGGGTGTTTGGGAAGGGTTTATAACTGTCTCTGTGGGCTGACTAAAAGCAAAATTTGGTGATCAAGAATAGGTGTCTTGATATTCAGATATTATTGCAAAATTCCAAGGGAAAAGTTGCAGTATTTTCCTTGTAAATCCTTGCATTTAGTCTACCTAAATGCAAATTCCTTCTGCTCATGTTTGCCAGATTAAGCTTATTAAATATTGTTTTATTTTGTTACAATAAAGACTGTGCATTTTAAATACTGCCATACAATCTACAAAACAATTATTTAACATGTCCTTTATGGTAAATATTGAATCCAGAAATGATGTAAAATAAACAAAATTTATCTGGTTTTTGTAAAATCAAAAGGACTATTCTGTCACACACACCTTCATTATTATATGTGACAAAGTATTAATACACTATATGCTACCAAAGAGGTAATATTGATTATAAAGCTAAAGATAATAGGGAGAGATTAGAAAAGTCAACAAGGATATTACACTTGCTTCTTTCTAACTGTGTATTTTGCCATAACTGATTACCAAATGCATCATTATATAAGCTCCATTGAGTTCTTCCCAAACCAACATTGCACAGAACTTTTTGGAATGTACAGGAAACCATTTAATCAAGGGATAGGAGGGAGACAGTGCAAGAGAGTGGGACTTGGCAAATACAAAGGTGAAAATTTGAACTATAAACTCCTGTACTAATGGGAGTCATTGCTCTAATGACACTGACTCTAGCTATGAAAAACCATTTAAACCCAATATGATGATTTCATTTTAAATAGCATTAAAATAAAAGTAATTGGACCTAGATTAAGTCATCTAATGCACATTCAATCATGTTTCAACAGACTTTTCTAACTTGTATTTTATTTCTGGGTGTTTGACTATTGTGGAATATTTTTATGCCTACACTACAGTGATAATTATTCTCATCACAAAGAGTAGCATTTTTATCAAGAACTTTGTAACAGACTCAGTGCTATAGTTCCTTCATTAAAAGTGTTAAGAGAAATTGCCAATACTTGCTTTATTGACAAGGATTGCAAAGCTGTTATATTTCACTTTTGAAAAGTTCCTTGTTATAAAAAATCAACACCTGCTTAGAATTTAAAAATATGCATATATTAATACATTGAAATAATTTTATTATAGTTGCTATTTCAAAATACTGCTCTGGGGTCCCAGAAAATTCTAGAACAGTAAGATTTAGCGAACCTGTTTCATATGCCTGACTGTCATTAAGGCAATTCAAATCATCACGCCATGCCAAAATACTCCAAGATTGTGGAGCCAAATAAAACTGAAATTGTTGAGTAAATTGGCGCATACTTAGGAGAAAGTATGCAGATAATAAAGAATGATTGGATGGAAGTATTTCAAATACAAGAAATCTTGGAAAGACAAGCTGTTTATTAATTTCTTTCAGCAAATATTTATATAGTAACTACTATGAAAGACCAGCTGTTTGTTGTTTCAACAGATATTTATGCCACCATACTGCTAGTTGTTGAGAAAACAACCATGGAAAAATCACAGTCCTGGGCTTCAATGCCAACACTTGAAATTATGCAATGTAATTGTGATATTCTAGGGATTACAAATAATTCATTATTACTATAACATAAAGCATAAAGGTTTATGACAGGAGCTAGGTCTGGATAAATAGCTAAGGGAGCCGTATAATGAAAGTCTTTTACAAAACAAAAAGATCCCAATGTAGGGCCTTATTTTTTCTATGAATCATGTGTTTTTATTCATAAGAAGAAGTATGTCAAAATTTGATCTAAGGATCAAAATGAAATATGTACGTTGGACACATCCCTAGCTTAGACAGATATTAATGCAATTATTTTAATTAAAGAAGACAGTGTAATACATATGTATGTTGCAGATTGACTATTTCCAATCCAAAACACTGGATACCAAAAGTATTACAGATTTCAGAGTTACTCAGATTTTGAAACAGCAAAATATCCTTTATCTGAAAATCCGAAATCTAAAATGCTCCAAAGAGCATTTCCTTTGAATGCCATGTCAGTGCTATGCTCAAAAAGTCAGATTCTGGAGCGTTTTGAAATTCAGATTTTCAGATTTGGGATTATAAACAACATACATATGTATACAATATAAAAGATATAATATTTAATATAAATCATCCTCAGAAATTCAGGAAGAGATAATAAAAGGTCAAATAAAAATGACAAGCTTTATTTCAAAATGGTGTTGGAGGGAAATGTGTGCTTTCTTGTTTGTAAAATTAAAGACTGAAATAATATTCTTATGGCACTTATTACAGTGAAATAAAATTTGAAAGTAAAACCAATTTAATAGAAAGAACAAGGAGTGAAACTATTATAAAATGTGGGAGTGATAAGGCTAAAAATTAATTACAATATAAGTGTAAGAACCTGCCCCAATGATAATTCTTGTATAAGACTTCTCTGTGATTTGACCAAGAAACTATCCATTTAAACCTGAAGAACAACTGAGAAAATAATCAGAAATCAGTTGCTCTATCAGTTCCAAGAAGAATGGAAGCAAGAAATTAATAATCTTAAAGAATTTACAGCATGAGCATGTTATCACAAAGAAAGAAATTGATAAGGATATTGGTAAGAGGATTTCCAAGTTTAAATGTGGAAATAAATTATTGGTTGCATTAAATATTTTTAATTACAAAAGAAAATGAGTACAAGAGTGACAACAAAGGGCATTCAAATAGAAAAGAGCTGCGCCAGTTTTTCAAAAGTTGTTTATATCTTCCTGATTAAAATTAGCAAGAGCACAAATAATAGAAAAAAGATGATATTAAAGATACTTGAAAAAGAACTGGGCCAAACCAATTGTCATATAAATTGCCTAATATAGAAGCCTCTGTTAGCTCAAATATAAAGATGATGCAAAAGAGATAACCCATGCCCAGGGAACTGTGGTAATAAAAAGGTGCAAATATATCTCTTCTCTGAATGTAGCATAGTGAAAGAGGGCATGAGAGGGCATTAACATGAATGGCTGTCTATTAACGGAATGTGAGTCACTTGATTCAGCTGACATAGCTCTTTTTTTTTCTGTATTTTTTTTTTCAGTTTCCATGCCTCCTTCCCAGTTAAAGAACATCAACCTAAGGGGCAGGGGGAGGAAAACACTCATCTTTCATAATAACCACTTCTCTCGTTAAAACATCCAGAATGAAAACTACTGAGGCACATTTAATAAGACATTCTTATGTGATTGTAAATATGTCTGATGTTCTCATTTTCTACTTCCAGATATCTTTTG